AGGAGTTGTTAGCTTATGGACGACAGAAACAGAGACTCAGACCCTTCGATCTGCATCAGTCTTATATTTCTGGAGCAATGTTTTAAAAGGGTCGAAGTACTAATTGCAGTATTCCGTCTGCCTTATGACCCCCGCAGCCTGCATCGAAGGACTGGTGGCTCCGCCAGAACATATCGAGGTCCCTGTAGTGCCCATAGCACCATATCCTCATGCTGTCTTGAAGACTGGAGATGTTGTGCGATATGTTTCCGACAACTACTGGAAGCTTCGAGTGCCGAAGCACCTGGCTGAGCTGCCTCGGATGAAAGGGGTCATCCAAGACATTATGGCTCAGCCTGCTTTAAAGCTTGACCTGTTGCCTTCTCAAACGCTGGCGAGCAAAATCCTGGAACGTGCTCATTTCGTGATCCGTGGACTCCCCGGCAACTGCTGCTTCAAGATAGGTTTGACCAGCAACCCTGCTCATAGATGGTGCAACAAAGACTATGGCTATCAGCACGCTTCGAAGCCTTGCTGGACCAGCATGAGGATTGTGGGTTGCCTTGCATCTGGAGAAGCCGCCGGCTTTTTGGAAGCCGCCCTTATTGACCGTTGGCAACTGGATGCTCGTTGCTTGAACTCTGCAAGTGGAGGCGAGGGTTTATCGTGCCAGGAAGGCCCATGGTGTGTGTACGTCGTGGTTGGATCCCGGCCCGATGCACGCTGAAAAAGACGTCTTCGAAGTCCCTTTAAAAGCCAAGCTCTGATGAACCTGAAACCTTCCAGAAAAAGACTAACTATAAATACCTCACCTCAAGGCCCAAGCTCCGAACGAAACGAAGCCCCAGAATGCTCCCACTCAGAACCTTCGATCGAAATCCGCTATAGTATTAATAGAAACAATATCAAGACTAATAAGAATCATAATCATAACAACAATAACATGTGTGAGTTAATGAAGCAACAGCAAAAGCCCGGCCCATCGATCAGCATAACTCCTTGAGTACCCAATAGATGAACGAATCTATGATAAATCATTACTCCTCCCAAGGCTACCTTTCGCCGACTCCTGGTCCAAGTCGACGCCGAGAGACGCAGCTGCTGGAGGAGGAAGCCGACGCCCCAGAGCAGTCGTCCTGGAACAAGCGAAAAGCCGCCCAAGAAGCCGAGCCCCAAGACAACAAGAAGATCAAGAACAAACCCGCCCTGGAGAAGAAGGGCGCTTTTTGTGCCGAGAACGACGAGAAGGCCCCCGACAAGCAGTCCAAAGAGAAGGCCCCCAACGACGAGAAGGCCCCGGATAAGCAGTCCAACGAGAAGGCCCCCAAGAAATCCGAGAAGGCCCCCACGAAGCAGAAGGTCCCCAAGAAGCAGTCCGACGAGAAGGCCCCCAAGAAGCAGTCCAAGGGAAAGGCAGCCACCGAGAAGCAGCCCCAGAAAGCCCCCAAAGCCACGAAGAAGCATCCCCCACAAAGCCCCGAAAAGCCATCTCAGGAAGTTCCCGGCAAGCAGTCCGACGAGAAGGCCCCCGAGAAGGAGTCCAACGAGAAGGCCCCCCAGAAGGAGTCCAACGAGAAGGCCCCCCAGAAGCAGTCCAAGGACCCCAAGAATAAGCAGTCCGACGACAAAGCCACTGTGAAGCCCGAGCAAGCCCCTGAACTGAAACAATCCAAGGTTTCAAACAAACGTCTTGATGAAGCTCCACAAAGCCCTTGCAAAAAAGCAACCCAAGCTAGCTAAGGTGAAGCGAGTGCCTGGCGATATCTGGTGGGACTACGAGATGCAACGTGCCTGCCTCGAAAGCCAGACCGGCCCCGTGTTTTCTTCGAAGCCCTTTGTTAAGGAGGATGAGGTTTTCGTGCAGTTTCCCGATGGTCTTGTGTGGTCGGTTCCGCACCTCGTGCCTGCAGACCTGGAGGCTGATGGTGGTTTGCCTGCCGCCCCGAGCATACCCAATGCCTCGAAGAAGCAGCCCAAGCCGAAAGCCAAACAGAAAGCCGAGAAGCCCGTCGAGGACTATGTGTTCCCGATAAT